ATCATTGGTTAAGATTTATTTACAACAGAACAGCACAACCCAGATGTTCAAATTTGTGCAACGCATTTTATGGACGACAGTTTTATGAACCTAGGAGAGTAGCCTACAAGGCTGACTGTGCAAAGTCTATTTCTAAAAAAAAATAGGTCAATTCCGACTTTGCTATGACAATCTGGCGCTTATTCTGAATCAACTACTGTAAGTATGTTTTCTTAATAGTTTAAGTATTTGCTATTGACTGTTCAAATGCAGAGTTTTGCGCCGTGTAGAGTATTGCGTCGTGTGTTTGTGTGTGTGTGCGTGAGAGAGAGACAGGGTCACATCACAGTAGAGTCAGCTTTCTTAATCGCGGCTTGTGTACTGCAAATACATACGAGCATCATCCCTGTGTCTGTCACGCGACTCTGTTCCCCTTTCGGGCTTGAACTGATGGTACAACTAAGGACATTATTTACTGTCTTTATATTTATGTTGAAAGCTGAAGCTCGCGATTATGGAAAGGGGCGTTACATTTCCGACGCGTGCTTGTGGTGTTCGGCCAATCACAATGCACTGGAACAAAATAATGATCTTTAAAATAGCATCATATGACCCCTTTAATACGTGTTGCTTATATTAATAAGTAGACATGACAAACAAAAACAAAACATGATGGCTCTGTTGACAGGGGTTTAGTTAAAAATCACGTAACGTAAATCTGAACGTAAAGAGTCTTTAGTCGCTGTAATATCACTTTGGTCAAAAATAGCAGATACCAAATGCCAGACGCCAGAACATTGGTGTCAATCACTGCATACTTCACTCCCATTATTTAAATGCGGTTTCTCTCCCATATTTAAATACGGTTGTTACTCCTGAAACTGTGTGCTTGGCCATTGTGCACTTACCCAAAATAAACACATTTGGTTCATTGTGTCAACTAATGATTATGTTGCCTAAATTATGTGCTGAAATGAAGCATTTGAGGGACACACCACTAAATTACAAATGAAATTCTGTCAGGGAAGGACTGGCCTTGATACTAGGGATCCGCATTCCACGCAAAAATAATATTCGAAAATCGCTGGGTATTATTCGATTATTATTCGAAAATCGCACCCCTCCCCCGCATGCACGCACAAACACCCATAAACAGAGTGAGAGGGAGAGAGACGGGATTCACGCTTTCAATCTGAATGATAAACTGATTAATTTAGAAGATAGGCTACCTTAACTCAAGCCATATAATGATTGTAACGTGCTGAAACATATTAATATAATATGTTATACATAACCGAATGAAGGCACTTATTAACATAACAGTCCGTCGTCGATTAGCATAAATCAACTGCTCATAAGGCTAAGATATTTCAATATAATATAATAATAATATTTTTTAAAAATGGAACCCCTAAAGGGAATAGATACGAGATGGAAGGAAAAATATACGTTTCTTCAATATCTTCTGTCGCAGTTACGGTGGTGTGAAAAAGTGTTGGCCCCCTTCCTGATTTCTTATTTTTTTGCATGTTTGTCACACTTTAATGTTTCAGATCATCAAACAAATTTAAATATTAGTTAATTATACTGTATATAAACTGCGGGCATCAGGGAGCCGCTATTAATACGCAGGGCATTGAAATCGCTTTTGAACGCGTGCATGCTTTTTACTTTCACTTTCGAGATTCACGATCACGTACGGAGCAGCACTCTGCAGTACTTACCACACATTTTATGATTAGATGTTTGTCAGTGCTGCTCAGGATCTGCAAATCATTCGCCATCATCCTATCAGTCATCTCTCCTTACTCTGTTTATGTGGTAAGTGAAATGTTATGTACTGTAATGTAACGTAACAGGCTACCGTTAGCAAGCGGCTAACCATGTCCCTTTAGTGGCTTCGTAGAACGCGTTATTTGTTTTCCGCGCCTTTCTAAACACAGATTCAGCCACACCTCTAACCCAGTCGGGGGTGTTTGTGGTCCGCACAGAACTCTTATTTGACATCGTCCCAAGTTACTGTAACCGTTATATGCTACGCAAGTCTTTTTCTATGCCACGCAAGTCTACAGTGTGCGCGTGAGACAATGTGTTCTTCTGTTTTCTTTGACAGCTTTTAGGTGCGTTATTGGCAGCGCCACCCTCTGCTTACATGAACGCGTCACCACCGCATCAGCACGGAAAACATGGGGACATTTTTTAAGACAATAATCGCACAACCTACTCGATATTCTGTAATTAAATCAACTAATCGATTATTCGAAAATCGTGACCCATCCCTACTTGATACATCAGTACATGTTATGACTTCTATGGAAGAAGAGAAGGAAAATATGCTAGTAGATCTATAAAAATGACACACCACGGGCAAGTCACTGGCTGGATTGCTAGTTGCAGAAAGTCTGAAAAAATTAATGAGAAAGCTCGAGTCAGACTTGTAGACTTGTTCCCTGTCATTTTGGATCTAGGGAACAGTATTGCAACACAAAGAGACAACGCAAAGTACATCTTGTACTTGGATTGAGGATCTTTCAGGGCATGCAAGACTGTAAAAGAGCAAGAAGAGGCCAGAGAGAGAGGAAGAGCTGACATTTTTGGATGAATAAACCTAACCTGCTTTAAACAGGTTGTTTTAAACATGCATGAATCCATGTCACTTTGAATCAGCTTCAATTTGGGTCAAAAAGTTTCAGTCTGTCTTGATTTCTTCCTAAGATTCATTACGAGAAATCCAGAATCACCATATGTATTAGGCATTTTAATTAAAACAGATGTAATAGGTTGATGAACATGATAATTTGCAAGAGAGAAAATTACTAGATTAGCAAGAGCATGAAGTTTTGCGAGAAGATGATGGAGTCGTTCGTTTCGGATGATTAAAATTTAATTACACTGCCGACGTCTTTAAGGTGTGACCTCACCTGCTGCACTGGAGACTGTGGGCCAGTTCTGGACCAGCATGCCTTGCGCTCCCTGCATCACAGCTGATGCCTCCTCCATATGCACAGAACTAAAAAGAAAACAATTAGCATGTCAATAGACTTGAAATATCACAAATCCAGTTTTTTTTTGTTTGTTTTTTTGAGTACTATTAAAAATACACAGAGAAAATATTCAGTAAAACTGATTCGAAAAATAATAAACATTAAAATACAGCTTCACTTTTGGGCAGTGGCAGTTGAGGGGGACAGTTGTGTTATGTGTCAAGAGCTGCTGTGTTTGCATGTATTTATTTAAGTTTTGGTCTGAAGGTGTGCGTGACGGTGAAGGTACATGTGACAAGAGTGTGCTAGACTATATGTGATCTAATGTGTCTGTGCGTGAGGTGATATGTGTGCGGCATGCGAGTTGTCATGATGGTGTCATGATGTTTTAACTCCTTCAGACATGTTGACTGGAAAGCACATTGATAGAGTGTCTAAATATATACTGGAAAGAAGGCAGGAAGATGATAAAAAATGTTAATATACTTAAAACTTTTTTAAGTATATTAAAAATATATTTTAAATATAAAAGATATATTTTGAAGTATATTTTAGATATTTTTCAACAGCCACAAGATTACTTGTTTTACTTGAGTAGTGACATTAGATGAGGTGTTAAGATTTGTATCATGAACATAAAATACCATTCAAAAGTTTGAGGTCATTAAGATCTTTTAATGTTTTTGAAAGAAGTATCTTATGCTTACCAAGGCTGAAAAATAATAAGAAATAAATAAATACATAAAAATAAAACAAAAAATAAAAAAAATCCTGACCCCAAAATTTTTAACTGTAATGTCAGTGTACAGTATTTGTCTTTACTGCAGTAGCATATTTTTTTGCACGTTTTTAAATTCTTTATGTTGATGCCTAAAACAAGTGAAAAAATATGTCAAAAGACAAAATATATTTGTATCAAAGATGGGTTACTCATAATATCTTACGGCATATTTTAAATAAATGTATCCTGTTTCGAGGGTTTTTATATTAACTGGAAAATAAATATTACAAATAGGATTTTCTGCAGTGTAGGGAATGATGAAGAAACAGAAGAAATGTGAAAAGAAAGATGATATAAAAGTGAAAGTGTTCATCAAAGAGAAAAATATGTGGATTGTATGGAAATATATTACCATTTCAGCGCCTCTCTACTCTTGCAAAGGGCCATTTCATAATCTGATTTCCCCTAATACATTGTTCAGTTTCTTTACCATCTTTATCTTCCCTCCATTCCTCTCTCCGTTTCTCTGTCTCGGACTGTCAGCAGGCCATGCATAACATAAGCCTGGGAATTTGTGGTAGACAGTTGAAGATGTAGTATGTACTTAAAATTTCAACAAATACCACGCTACACCCTAGAGCTGCGAGTATGCATTAAAAAGCATTACATTAAAGGGACATTTCATTTCCTACATACACTTTCCAGCGACGGCCTTTGGCTTTCAGCACGGATCGGTGTATTTATCACCATGGAAACCACGATCAGACAAGCACCCACATAAAGAGCAGGACTGTGAATTTTGCCACAGCACTCCTATACATCCATTATAAATGTACAGACATGAGGAGCAGAAAGGAAGTGGGTATAGCAGGGCATCTGCAATGCAGCACAGGGTGTGCCCAGCCTGCTACAGCTCCCATAACTCTCATCCAGTGTGTGTGTGTTAACATTATGGATCTTTCTAATTCCCTTAAAGCTGAAATGCACCCGTGCCTTGTGGCAGAGTGAATCAGTAACTTTCTTGCCTAAGGAGAGGCTTGTCGATTGAGGGGTGTGGATTTAAAGCCACTGGAGAGGAGGTTTGTATACTGGAGGTGTTTGGAGTAAGTCGAAATGAAGAGGAAGTATGACAGAGAGTTGAGCAATTCAGGAATTATTCATCTTAATTTGTGGTTCATTGATGGTCAATGAAAAGTTATGAATACATAATATAAATCTAAGATTTAATAATAATAATAATAATAATGTGATATACTGAATTTACAGAAAGCTTTAAAGATCCCCTACTGAAATTAAACTGCACATAATTGTTGAAATTCAAATAATCAATTTAATTAAGGATATGCAATATACATTATCGTTCAAACTTTTGGAGTTGGTAAGATTTTTGTTTTTGAAAGAAGTCTCTTATGCTCACCACCAAGGCTGCGTTTATTTGATCAGAAATACAGAAAAAAAAAAATAATATTGTAAAAAGTATTATTAGAATTTAAAATAACTTTTCTATTTGTATATATTTTAAAATGTAATTTATTTTTGTGATAGCAAAGCTGGATTTTCATTAGCCATTACTCCAGTCTTCAGTGTCACATGATCCTTCAGAAATCATTCTGATATGACGATTTGATGCCCAAGAAACATTTCTGCTTAAAAACAGAATGCATTTATTTGAAATATAAATATTTTGTAAAATGATAAATGTGTTTACTGTCACTTTGATTAATTTAATTCATCCAATTTAATGCACGATAATAAAACTACCAGTGGATACTGGCTATTCAATTTTGCATGCTCACTTTTTTCTCTATTTAAATACATATCACATTAATATCACTTTTACCTTCATCTAATGCTCACTTTAAAAACACTAATAATTTAATAACACTGCAGCAAATTCTCTCAAAATGTTTCAAAATATCAAAATGAATATTCTGTACATTATAATGTTGTGATGTCTAAATTAACCTTTCACTAAATTAACATTTAAAATGATTACGTTTCAATTTTAGTGTTTTATTTTTTATTTATTTAGACAAAACCAAATAGAATTTTAATATATGCAATTTATCGGTTATCGGCCATGCCAATCATCTTATCTGACAGAATTAATATTGAATTTAATACTGGTGCATATCTAAATGTAAATTTTTTTAGTATGCAAATTTGTACTATGTTTATATGGTGCTCTAAGTGGCTCAGTGAAATTCCATCTAATTTGTCCCCTGTGTATAATGTCCCCTGTGCCCCTTTTTGCACCAGCCTTCAGTCACAGAAAACCACATAAAACACGCAGACACACGCACACACACACACACACACACACACACACAAAACCATCCCCGGAGATGAGCCCACAGGGTAGCACAACATTATCACATAAAACAGACAGTCATTCACCCTTTGGAAACTCTATGTTTGTGGTGGTTAGAGGAGGGGGCCTTGTTGTCTCCAGATGTAAGTGTGTGTGCATGTGTAAAGAGTTAGAGAATAAATATTTTGCATTTCAGAGATGACTCATTTTGTCAGTATTTGTGCATCGAAATACCCCCCCCTGAGATTTGAATTTCAATATATTGGATGACAGAGTAAGGTTAAAATGGGTTAATACCATAAAAATACATTTGTAGTGCATCAGACTTTATGAACTGAACAATATGACCAATGCTGTTTCAGTAAGTTGTATAAACCAGTGTTGTTACTGTTAACTAAAATTAAAACTATTAAAATTGTTTTCATTAATTGAAATAAAGCTGAAATAAAATTCAATTTAAATATTAGATTAAAAACCTAAACTGTAAAACATAAACAAAAATTAGAAATGATGCTTTGGCAACTAAATGAAACAAAATCATGTTTAAGTACTTGCACATATTTAAGTATAATAATAATAATAATAATAATAATAATAATAATAATAATAAAGCTAAATATAAATATTAATTAATATTTTAAACTAACATAATTATTAAAGCCTTATTAATTATTAAATTATATAATATTAATTATTTTAAAAAAATCAAATGAAAACTGAAAATATAAAAGGCAATTCAAAATATGAATAAATACCATGGTAGTACATTAATAATACTACAATAAAAATAACTATACAAATAAAAACAAAATATTTATTTTTATAAAAAATACAAATATTACAATTATACATTAATCAATGAACAATAGTATATTTATAAAAAAAGAAAAAAATCATTAACCTAGATTATTAAATTCTAAATGGTTTTCATTGTTAATTTATGGTACCTGAAGCAATATCTAATGTTACAAACGGAACCTTACTCTAAAAGTGTAATATTTGTTTCTATTGAGTGAAATAGCAATTCTTTGTTTAATGAAAATCATTTGAAACATTTTATGTAATGTATAATATTTTGAGGATGCGTTTAGCTTCTGCTCTCCCTTCTATTTGATTAAGTTCAAACACGATTGTTTCCTGCATAATGACATTGAGGGTCAGGATTTGATTATTACCTGTCAGGAAATGAGGAAATTAGAGATGGACATGATTCACAGTGCTTTTGCACTTTTACTCAGCTACCAAACTCAAGACCAGAACAAGCACTTAACTTTTAATTTTTATTTAGCTACAGCAAACAGAGAAGAGGTGTTTTCCATAACAGTTCAGAGAGGACTGTAACTCTTTCAGGACATTATTAACAGCAAAAGTGCTTACCTCTGCACTCCTGCCCTCAACGAAGCAGAGTAACGCCAGTCAGCATTTGGTCCTTTGGGCTGGAGAAGGAGAGAAAGATGAGGAGAGATAGAGGGAAAGAAGGGGTGGAAGGACAGAAAAGGTTTAGATACATTCTCATCAATAAATCATGCTGTTCTGTGTGCGTGTTTCTGTCTTGCATTTTAATATGAACCACAGCTAAAGGAGACCAGAACTACAGGGACGGTTATTGGCACTATGCCATGGCCCATGACTCACTGGTATAAAACTTGTATGTGTGGAGAGAGTGTTCTTCATAATAAAGCACATGAAGGACACTTGACATTCACCTAATAACATACACAACATTACAAGGGATGCACAATATATGGTACCATATGGTTAATGACTGATATTAGTGATTTTAATATATCGGCATTGGCAGATATTAGATATTTCATTATGTATATGATCAATTCCACCAACACTTTTGAAGTTGTAAATAAAGATTATTGGAGCAGAAAATCTTTTACAAGAAAACGATATTTCAGTCTTTCTACTTCAAAAAAAAAAGTCTTACTTTCAATTTCTTTGAGATTATTTGTGAAATTTCAACACCATTTTTCAGTATGTTTTTACATTTAAACCATAAAAAAGTCTCAGATTTACTTTGTAATTAGTTAATTAGTAATTAGTCAAATTTACTAGCAATTTTTGAGTGAAAATTGTTTCAAAGAAATGGCAAGAACACATTGAATTAAACAAGAAATTTTGAGGTAGAAAGACTCAAATGGTATTTTCTTGTGAAATATATTCCAATAAGCTTTATTATTCATTTACAACTTTGAAAAATCATTTTACAGTTTAGATAATCTTTGCCATAATCTAGTGCTTATTCAAATTATCCTTAAAGAATTTGTAAATGTATTCTTGATGGAATATGCGCTTTTTATATTTTCAATTGTAATTCTGTGATGACTAAATTCACCTCATAGCTTTTAAAATGACTGACTGTGGTGATTTTATTTCATTATTATAGAATCATAATTTTAATATCAGCCATTTAGCACTTATCAGCCATAACATTGAAATAAATACATATTTGGCATCAGCCAAAATTTTTATATCTGTGCATCACTGTAGCCATTACCACACATTTTTAAATTACTTCACCCTTTCTGCTCAACATCAAGTCCCTAAACATCTTTCTCTTCTCCCAGCATCCATCTCCAGCTGACCTCATGTAATATGATACTTGAGCATTTTCTGCTCGTCTCAACCAAAGCAACTCAATCTGAGCACTGGTCACAAGATGACCATTCACCTTGCAAGCCTCAAACATAAGATGGTCATCTGTTCCTCCAGCAATTCACAGTGAATGAATTAAATGGCCTTGCACAGAGGGAGAGCACAAGCACGTAGTTGCCACTCTTTTTATACTTGCCCTAGTAAAAAAAAAAAAAAATAGCTTGGGTAATATGCGATAGGATGAGGCATTAGAGAATGGCCCAGATAATTTGAGTAAATAACATTCTTTAATCAGGTGAATTCAGGGGAGAGAGAGTGCGTGCAAAAAGACTTTGCTTCGCTCTCACAATGTAATTTGCAGGGCTTGAGAATCAAAGGCTGGAGGTTAATTTCATTGCCTGCTCTCTTATCTTGGACAGACGGCCTCTGCTCCTAAATCCTCTGTAGTGTCGAATGTGCTGCAGTGCCTCTCACAACACATCTGAGGCTGTCAAGAGCATCTCTGCAAACTCTAGTTATTTTTGTACTGTAGACTCTTTTTTTTAGACTATTTTTGTCTTTTTTAAACCATCTGCAACATCTCCTCCCGTGAGCCAGAGATCAAGGCTGCACAGCCTTTGGATCATGTTCTGGCTAATTAAAACACATTTCACGAATCCATGGCTGACAGAGTGAACATGAATTCACGCCAATTACACTGACAAAAACACATAAATTGAGAATCTAACACAGCAAATGTATTGCACAGGCAATATACTAAAATGTATCCTATCCTGCATTAACTCTGAGGAGCTTTTTTCCCCAAAATGATCTATGTGGCACCCAAAACATATGTTACTTCAGTGTAATTTAGTGTATACAAAATAATGTTCAAATTCAAATAAAATCTTGGAGTAAAGACAGTGACATGGGAGTGGAAGGAAATAATCCTGAAAATGTGATGACAGCTTCAGATGTGGGAGCAAATACCTAAATCATCATAAATGCAATGTACTACTCTAGAAAGTCTTGATGTTTGACACTAATGCAGGGTGAAGCAAAGCACTGTAAAGCTGCACTAGATAACCGCACAGTACAACAGGAGATGACAAGGTCAAAAGCTTCTGACACGTGGGCACAGAGCTTTATTGCAACTCTTGGTCTGACCAAATTACCTTTTACACTAAAACATACTGGAAACCAGAGTAGCACTATATTGAGCTAAAGCTCAATTCTGGTTTCCATTATATCTAGTTTTATTTAAATTTAGACAGAACTTGTGCTGCATGAGAACATTTTACGGTTTTATGTTTAGTAATTTAACATAAGTGTAACCAAAATTATATATATAAAAAAATGCTATAGTAAATAAATGGTGAAAAGTGTTTTAACACAGCATTTCCTGGTTAAATATTGTAAAATGAATCATTTTTGGAAGAAAAAAAATATGAATTACCAAATAATTTGTGGTTTAAATCTACAAAATACTCAAAAAGAATGACTACATTTATGGTAAAAATCAATAAATAAACATTCTCAGAAATTCATGTGTGATGCATCACATTATGATTAGATTTTATTTAAATAATTATTCTTTTTAGCATTTATTTATTTAACATTTACTGTTATTTAGAATATATGTAAAACCCCAAACACTGGCATCTTTTTTTTTTTTACTGTAAATTTGATTTTTCCAGTTTTTGTATTTTTACGGATATATACTTTCTAATGAGACACACCTGTAGTGCTGCATCTGGCATACTAAGCCTGCGAACAAATCCGCTCCCTCCTGTAAAAAAGCGCTCGGAGCCCCAGGTGCCACTGATGGGTCGGCCTGTGTTGTAGAACATGAACGTGTCGCTGCCCGAAGTAGCAGTCAGACAGGTCTTGTAGCAATAGGTTTTGGTCAGAGAGCCATTACCCCGGACCTCAATATGATGAGGCTCAACCTTGAGGTCTCGTCTAAGCACCACATTGTTATTGGGTTGAGAGCCACCACCACCACCTCCGCCTCCCCCTCCTGAGCCACCTTCCGCTTGGGCCTTCTGGGACACGCAGCAGGGCGAACAGGACCCGGGCTGGGTGCAATAGGCATGGCAGCGCACGATAGCCAGCACAACCACTGTCACCAAGAACACAAAGGTGGTGGCGCTCAAGGCTACAATGAGGTACAATGTCACGTTGGAAAACAAGAGAGAGCTGTGAGGGCGGATAATTCGCTTGGGGTCAGGCGTGACTTTTAGTGGCACCTCCATGACAGCGACGTTGATTGTAGCGGTGGATGACAGAGGTGGTTCGCCATGGTCCCTTACTAGTACAGTTAGACTGAAAGAGGTGGAGTTGTCTTCAAGGACGCGCCGCGTGGTACGAATTTCTCCTGTGTGTTCGTGAACTTTAAAGAGATCCAGATCGCTGGCCTGGTCCAGCAGATAGACGACCCATGCGTTCTGTCCTGCATCTGCATCATAGGCCACTACCTTTGTGATCAAACTTCCTGGCTCTGCATTTTTCTGAACTGTCTCTGTTAAGCGTGTGCCATTGGCTGGAGGACTCACAATCTCGGGCGCATGGTCGTTTTGATCCATTATGTAGATGTAGACAGTGGCTACACGGCTGAGTGGTGGGATACCCCCATCCTGAGCTTTAACCTGGAAGTGAAACTCCCGTAATGACTCGTAGTCAAAGGAGCGAAGGGCATAGGCAACACCTGTGTCTGCTTTAACTGACACATAGGAGGTGACCGGGATCCCGTGATTGTTGTCGTTTAGGACCGTGTAGGTGATGCGAGCGTTTTCATTGACATCCGCGTCCTGAGCTTTGACAGTGCAGAGCGAGGCTCCAGGTGCATTGTTCTCCATGACATACACAGTGTAGGAGGTCTGCTCAAAGCGTGGAGGGTTGTCGTTCACATCTGCGACATCCACCTGAATGGTCTTCTGAGACGAAAGGGGAGGGTTGCCGGCATCTGTAGCGCTGAGGGTGACATTATAGGCTGCTGTGGTTTCGCGGTCAAGAAAGGCAGAGGTTACCAAGGTGTAATAATTTCTAAACGACTTGATTTTGAAAGGAAGACCAGGTTGAATTTCAAGGGTAACCTGTTTGTTAGGGCCAGAGTCCCGGTCTGTCACACTGATCAGGGCCACCACGGTATCTGCACGGGCATCTTCACGCACCGGACTGGACAAAGACGAGAGCACGATCTCTGGAACGTTGTCATTGACATCCACGACCTCCACCACCACTTTGCAATGGGCTGCTACTGGAGCTGGGCCTTTGTCCATGGCCTGGATGTACATTTCGTACGAATTAGTGTCCTCGTAGTCCACATTGCTCTTGACTCTGATTTCTCCAGTGTTGGTGTCCATGCTGAAAATCTGCCTGACCCTGTCTGGGGTGTAACTGCTGAATGAATAAAGCACCTCCCCGTTTGTTCCTTCATCTTGGTCTGTGGCTTTCAGTTTGATAACCAAATTGTCTTTGGGCGAATTTTCAAGCAATTTGACTTTATATACTGAGCTGTCAAAAACGGGGTTGTTGTCATTCGAATCCAAGACGCGAACGTTAATTTTAGCTGTACCTGTTCGTGCTGGTGTGCCAGCGTCTGTCGCTGTCAGGATTAACTGATGGTAAGGGGCGAGCTCGCGATCCAAGGGCTTTTTGAGAACGAGCTCGATATGCTTAGTATTCAACGAAGGCTTGTTGGAATCGAGAGCAAAATGCTCGTTTGGGCTGAGCCGGTACAATCGAACCGAATTGGTACCGATGTCCGGATCTTGCGCGTGCTCGATCGGAAAACGAGAGCCCGGCAAAGCCGACTCTGTGATCTCCAATTGATACTCGTCTCTGGGGAACTGCGGCGTATTATCATTCACGTCTAGTATCTCCACCTCGACATTATGGTCTTCATTTGGGTCCTCAAGAAGAACCTCTAGATTCAAAACACACGCGGCGCTTGTATCACACAATGTCTCTCTGTCAATTCTCTCGTTTACCAATAATTTTCCATTCTTATGGTCCACGTACCTTTTGCCGCTGTCAGAGGTTACCTTAATCTTTCGGGTGGGGATCTTTCGAACATCCAAACCCAAATCCTGTGCAATATCACCTACAATCGTTCCACTCTCCGATTCCTCCGGCACGGAATATCTTATTTGTCCGAGAGCAAGGCCACAAAATAATAGTAATAGCAAAAAAGAAAGAGGCACTTTTTTGTCTAGGCAATCACATATCCCTGCAACAGCCATCGCAAGATCATATGAACAGCACTCCGCCTTGTCAGCTTGCAATATCTTGCCTCCCACTTCAGCATTAAAGGTTTTACATTTATTAGTAATTTCTAAACGACTTGATTTTGAAAGGAAGACCAGGTTGAATTTCAAGGGTAACCTGTTTGTTAGGTCCAGAGTCCCGGTCAGTCACACTGATCAGGGCCACCACGGTATCTGCACGGGCATCTTCACGCACTGGACTGGACAAAGACGAGAGCACGATATCTGGAACATTGTCATTGACATCCACGACCTCCACCACCACTTTGCAATGGGCTGCTACTGGAGCTGGGCCTTTGTCCATGGCCTGGATGTACATTTCGTACGAATTAGTGTCCTCGTAGTCCACATTGCTCTTGACTCTGATTTCTCCAGTGTTGGTGTCCATGCTGAAAATCTGCCTGACCCTGTCTGGGGTGTAACTGCTGAATGAATAAAGCACCTCCCCGTTTGTTCCTTCATCTTGGTCTGTGGCGTTCAGTTTGATAACCAAAGTGTCTTTGGGCGAATTTTCAAGCAATTTGACTTTATATACTGAGCTGTCAAAAACGGGGTTGTTGTCATTCGAATCCAAGACGCGAACGTTAATTTTAGCTGTACCTGTTCGTGCTGGTGTGCCAGCGTCTGTCGCTGTCAGGATTAACTGATGGTAAGGGGCGAGCTCGCGATCCAAGGGCTTTTTGAGAACGAGCTCGATATGCTTAGTATTCAACGAAGGCTTGTTGGAATCGAGAGCAAAATGCTCGTTTGGGCTGAGCCGGTACAATCGAACCGAATTGGTACCGATGTCCGGATCTTGCGCGTGTTCGATAGGAAAACGAGAGCCCGGCAAAGCCGACTCTGTGATCTCCAATTGATACTCGTCTCTGGGGAACTGCGGCGTATGATCATTCACGTCTGTTATCTCCACCTCGACATTATGGTCTTCATTTGGGTCCTCAAGAAGAACCTCTAGATTCAAAACACACGCGGCGCTTGTATCACACAATGTCTCTCTGTCAATTCTCTCGTTTACCAATAATTTTCCATTCTTATGGTCCACGTACCTTTTGCCGCTGTCAGAGGTTACCTTAATCTTTCGGGTGGGGATCTTTCGAACATCCAAACCCAAATCCTGTGCAATATCACCTACAATCGTTCCACTCTCCGATTCCTCCGGCACGGAATATCTTATTTGTCCGAGAGCAAGGCCACAAAATAATAGTAATAGCAAAAAAGAAAGAGGCACTTTTTTGTCTAGGCAATCACATATCCCTGCAACAGCCATCGCAAGATCATATGAACAGCACTCCGCCTTGTCAGCTTGCAATATCTTGCCTCCCACTTCAGCATTAAAGGTTTTACATTTATTTGCACAATGGCCTAATTGTCAGTTCCATTCTAAACGCGCACGGATGCGTCCATGTTTCCTTTGTCCGCGCTTATCCCTTTTTTTTTTTCCTCTGCGCGCAGCTGACGGGTGTGTTTCCTTGCCACTGGTGCTGCATATTTCGCCATGCGCGCACTCTCTCTCTCTTTCTCTCTCAGTTTCAAGCCACCCCTCCCATTCGTACTCCTTTTCCTCCTCTTCTTCATAGCTCAGTTCGATGGTGTTGGTGCGGCGCACCGGGGGAGGGGCTGCCTACTCAAATATAATGCATTCTGATATTCGAAACCTTGTAAGAAAATATAACAGCTTGATGGAAGCAGCCAAAAAGCAACAGCTATATTTATTAATGTCATTAAATTTACATTAAAAGCTACACGTTAATTAGAAAGCGAGCATTTGGGATGCATTATCTTTCCCTGAACTAGGCCAGTGCGTTTTAAGCTTTGGTTCATCACTTTTGGAGAGTCACGGATGAGAAAAAAACACTCAAAATTAAATGCGTTCCAAGTGTTTTTCTGTAAGAGATTGGATACTGCTGTATCTATATAACTGGCTGTGATACTACCCTGCATTTAAAAAAAATGCAAAAGAGTGTAAAAAATGTTTAAAATCTATAGTAAAAGTAATAAGTAAAAAGCTGTTAATTGGATACCTTGCCGTGTAGTAAACAAAATTTTATTTAAAAACACAAAACGTATTTGTACTGTTTAATATAGTAAAAAATGCTAAAGCAAAAGTAAAAGGTACCTTTTTTTTTAGTTAGTAATTTTTTAAATTATGAATTCATTCATTTTATTTTGTTTTAGTTAAACAATCCTCAGTTTGCTGTCAAGTAAATCTACACCTGACAATCTGTAGAATCTCACTGTTCTGACAGGCTGAGACCTCTCAAACATGATTATCATTGTCAGCGCCCAAAGAATGGCAATCCAAATTATTGTAGATTACCAAGCGTTTTAATGTTTCAGAAAATGTTGCTAATGTTTTGAAATACAGAATACGTTTATTCTTTATTGGTCACAGAACGGCTATATTCATTAAAATCTATAATAATTATACAGAATGCGCATTTCTCTCTCCGTCTGTGGCTTTGACTTCAGACAGACCAGGTCATCCGGGCGTGCGCGCCTGGGGCATCTCTGTGCATCCGTCAAAATGCGCCACAGTGAGGGAGCGTGTCACTCTGAAACCGATGACATAAACTAAGCCAGGGCAGACTGTCTGCGTAAACCCGTCGCATTAGAGTCGCCTCATGTCATCACCATATAAAGCAGTAGATTAAACTCTTCTTTCAGATCAGAATTCGTTATTTTTTTAATCTAGCAATTACTATCAAAAATTGTATTATATTATGTTGTTTTAACGTTAACTAGACATTTTGTGCTACATATTTAAGAATAAAATGGGCCATTCATAGGTCAAAGTTCATTATAATAGAAACTGTAACTTTTTTTTTTTTACAGCCAGTGCTCCACACAGAGATCTGATCTGATCATCATCCAGTCTGTCTGGAATGACATGAAGAAACAGAACAAACTGAGACAGACTAAATGCAGAAGAACTGTGCCAACGTCTCCAAGATGCTTCAAGAAACCTACCTATGCGCAAGTGCACCTAGGGCAAAAGCTGATTTAAATGCAAAGGATGGTCACACCAAATGTTGATTTAATTTAGTTAATAGACGTTTATAGATAACGACAATCTATTTATGACATTATTTTTGACAGCATCCTACACTGAAAAAAATGATTCGTTGTCTGAACAACCATTACTTACAAAAGTAAATCGATTAAACACAAAAAACGTAGTATTCATAACTTTTCAATGTCTACTTAACATATATAGTGCGTGTAACGCAAAAATATAAGTTACAAGGTGAACTTAAATGTATGCATAAATAAAATGAAAAAGCATAAGTCATGTCAACTACTATTACAATTACGTTAAAATTAAGTAAATCTAGCATAAAATTTTAAGTAGCCTATGAGCCACGTGATATGCAAATACTCTTTCCAGCCAAGGTGCCATTTCGTGAAGCACATGTGAAGACGGTGAGAAGGGGTAAGCTTAATTTTTGTAAACGAAGTATAATATTAGATTTTGGCGTTTTACCATCAATGAACACTTGTTTTTTTGTGTTAGTGGGAGAAGATATTTTCTGAAACGCAACGTGATGTAGACGCTGAAAAGAGGTAAGCTTTACTTTGTATTTTTATCTTACTCGTTTATTGCGTTTGTGGTCAAAAAAGGAACTTTTAAACTGAATTTCTGAATCGCTAAGAATCATGCTTCAATAATTAGAAACGTGTTATGAATACTTATGAAAGCGTCGAGTTTGTACGTGTAAGCCCATTCCCGCTACTGAGGGGAAAAAAAAAAAGTTAGGTCACAATATTCTCATATTCTCTATAAGGGGCGGCCCAGGCCTGGGCGCGGGTTACTCTTGAGGTTTGGTTTATATGATATTCTAAAATACATCGGCTGCATGTCTATATGTATGCACGATCATCAAGTAATGGCGATCTCGATTCAGACACACACGCAAAATTATTCCTAAATGACAACGATTCCTCTGTGTACTAAACCTTTGAAATTATGATCACAACAGTAAATTTAAACCTGCGTTCCCTCAGCCGCTGATCCGGAGAGAGTGCCATAAACTGATAAGGTAGACACAAAATGTGCAGAGCGGGCACGTGGATCTCCAGTTTTAAAGTGTTTGATTGTAACATTTTGTGTTGTTTCTGTTATATTTCATTTTAAATATGCGAGGCAATATTGAAAGTGCCAGATTTGACTTCCAAAAGTAATGTATAAAAAACACTGAAACGCCAGCATTATCAATTATTTTATGCCGTTTAATACAGTTGTTTTTCTCTCCATCTTTCCATACATCCAGCTGTGCAACAAGTGATGGTGCAAGAACGGAATAATTGGAGGTAACAATTCATATCTAATTTTTTTTGTTTATTTCACACTTTACTAATAATTGCTTACAGGTGTGGAACGACATGATGGTGAGTAATTAATGACAGAATTTTCATACTTGGGTGAACTAAACTTTTAAAATGATGCTCCACCTAAAAATGAAAATTCTGTTATTGTTTACTCATCCTTGTGCCGTCCCTGATACATATATAATCTTAATTTTCTTCACTTTAAAAATCAACGCAAAGTGAATGTGACTGTAATCCATACGTCCCTGTATGAATCTCTTCTGAGTGAAAAGTTAGGTGTGTTTGTGAAAAAAATACTATTATTTCAAACTATAATCATTGCTTTCGGCCAACTGTCATCCATCCATTCATGGGTTCATGCTTAATGTAAATGTCAACACATTGTGAAGTGTGATGTGTGTTGTGAAACTAAAGGAAGAGGTGACAGTCCTAAGTGCTTCTACATCACCTCTCACATGATGAGAGCTTCAGAAGACACTTGTCACGCTTCACAACATCCTAATAAATCACTTAATATGCTATCATGAACTAATGTATGACAGCCAGCCCAAAATATAGTTTTTTTTAGTTTAACAAAATTGAAAAATTTTTTTATTCAAATGTTAAGTAAATACAACTTGCAATTACTTAGTAGATTCTATGGTGTTACATATTTTTTTTTAAGTAAAGAATGTTGGTTTAACTCTATTTTTTATATAAATGAGCTTAAATGTTAAGTTAACACAACCTGAAATTACTTAGTAGATGATGTTGCATGTTTTAAGTAAAGAATGTTAAGTGAACTCAAATATTTAAGTTCATATAACAAAGATTATCTTGTTTATTTTAAGTACAATTATTCCAAGTTGGGTTTACTAAAAAAGTGTGATGCAAAAAATTTTACAGCATTTTTACACAAGTGCCTAAAGCTTTTAACAGTACTGTAGCTTTGCAGGTAGGTTTCTTGAAGCATCTCGGAGACGTTGCCACAGTTCTTCTGGATTTAGTCTGTCTCAGTTTGTTCTGTTTCTTCATGTCATTCCAGACAGACTGGATGATGATGAGATCAGATCTCTGTGTGGAGCAATGACTGTTATCAGACTCCTTGTGCAAACAAAAATCTCACTGGATTATTACAATTAATGGCAAAATGAATGTTTGGAAGTGTAAACTGATATTTCCTTCTGACACTCTACAGCAAAAGATAGAAATAACTGACTTATTTTCTAAATATATACATATTTTTCTTTCAGTTAATGTTTACCCCTTTTTCCCTGGGATGAATATGCCGCATGGGTGAAACACTAGGCAGTGTTTGTGCATTGTTTTCATAGTGTCTTTGTTTTGATCTTTTTGGAAACCACTGAGTAATAACAGATGTTTTGCAGCACAAAACACTCTGTAAGCAAGTGGGTCAGATACCCAAATACTTTTTTGACTTTCAGACATCTACAATCCAGATTTTGTTTCTGATCGCACCTGCTGTCTCTCCTGAACCCCCACACAATGCACATTTGTTTTTGACACCGGATTGCTGATAGATTATCAAGACATATTTGCAAAATATAAACTGATTTTTATTGTGCAACTAATAAAACTGGAATAATGCACAGTGAATTAAACTTTACTACAGAGACAAGTTAACAAAGTCTCATATAAAAAATCAAGTCTTTTAACAATGGAAGGTTTGACAGGCTTGGTCTTATAAATCCTTGTTCTACTAGGTCTCCACTTCAGGAAATTTAAAAGCTTAACCAGGCCTATCATTCTGCATGTGCATGTACTTTCACTGTCAGTGTGCAATAACAAGACTGTCTTGACATTTACTAAAGTGAGTTGTAGCTTTGGGTAACTGAGTGTGGTGAGTTGTGAATGATAGAGAAAGCACTAAGTATAAGACTGCCAATTGACAACCTCAAAATGGAATATAACAGCCTAAAATTAAAATTCTCACATATTTCTATACTAGAATGTATGTTGTCCATTTGTGATGATTAGACTACAACTGCACTAGGGAGCCAGATTAAGATTAGGCCAGATTAAATGGCTCTCCTTAGAAAACACTTTGTTAAAACCCTAAATATAGAGCTAGACCTTCTCCCTATATCCTTAAATGACAACATTTGTGACCCTGGACCACAAAACCATAAGGGTCAATTTTTCGAAATTGAGATTTATACATCGTCTGAAAGCTGAATAAATAAGCTTTCCATTGATGTATGGTTTGTTAGGATAGGACAATATTTGAAAATCTGGAATCGGAGGGTGCAAAAAAATCTAAATATTGAGAAAATCGCCTTTAAAGTTGTCCAAATGAAGTTCTTAGCAATGTATATTACAAATCAAAAATTAAGTTTTAAAATATTTACAGTAGGAAATTTACAAGATATCTCCATGGAACATGATCTTTACTTAATATCCTAATGATTTTTTGGCATAAAAGAAAAATGTATAATTTTGATCCGTTTTGTGGTCCAGGGTCACATTTAGCTAATCAGACTGCTGAAAGATATTAGTATCTTGAGCTTTGACCTGTGAACTTTGACCTTTGGCAGGACAGAAACCCATTACAAGTGGTACTCCTCCTCCCCTGACCCTACTTACATAAGTGTGCCAGATTTTAAAAGGGATGCACCCATCTGAGAGACACCGCACAGACACCCTGCACCAACAGTGCCCTCAGCAAGGGCATCCAGAGTCACACCACCCACCGCAGTGTGCACTAAAAACCTCTCTTCCTCTGTCATTCACGTTCTCTCTCTTTCCCACTTCCTTTACATGCATGTCTTCTCTCATTCTTTCTATCTGCTCTGCCAGTTGTGGCCTATATTTGGTGTTGGTGATGTAGGTCATGATAACCGAATGGTAAAATTAGAGTTGTTTATGCCTTTGCACTACTGAATGATAGATATTTTGGCTATGAACCAACTCTTACACTTGTATATCAGATGCACAGTATTTTGGTCTAATGTTTAAAATATCTATAATATATAGACAGTAAAGAATGCAGAAATATATGCTAAACATATTTTAATAGGATTTAATTTGTCTTTATGACTCGTTTTTAACACAAATTTCAAAAAATCCTCAAACAAGATTAATTACCTGACAAGTAATAATCTATATTGAGAAGATGTACAGATTATATATTATATATCATAAAATATAGATATATTGTTCAGAGAAAATGCACTACTGTTCAAAATTTTGAGGTTGGGAATATCTTTTAATGTTTTTATGTAAGTGTCTTATGCTCACCAAGGTTGCATTTATTTGTTACATTAGAAATACAGTAAAAACAGTAACATTGTGATTGTGTGATTAATTACAATTTAAAATAACTGTTTTCTGTTTTAATATATTTGATTATGTAATTTATTCCTGCAATGGCAATGCTGAATTGTCAGCAGTCATTACATCAGTCTTCAGTGTCACATGATCCTTCAGAAATCATTATAATATGTTGATTTGCTGCTCAAGAAACATTTATTATCAATTTTGAAAGCAGTTGTGCTGTTTAATATATTTTTTTAACAATTATACTTTTTTTTCAAGGTTAGAAAGTTCAGCATTAATCTGAAACAGAACAATTATAAATGTCTTTACTGTCACTTCTGATCACTTCAATGTATCCTTCTAGAATAAAAGTATTAATTTGTTTAAAAAAATAAAAGTCACCCCAAAAAGTCTGTTTTACCTACTGGTCCAATTTTATATAAGTACAAACAAGTTAAAAATTAAACAATCTGCCAGTAGACTGAGACAAAATCAAAATACACTTAAGCTACAATCTATGAAAGCGAATCGTAATATCTTCAATGTTGTTTCTCAAGTAAATGTGTCTTGTTTTAGGGATTTGATTTTAGATATCTCAATGGAAATCAAATATGATAAAACATGTCAAAATCAGTGTGCACATTCAGTTTAGGGCTCTATTTATAAGAATATTTATTGCCGTTAGTTTGCTTTAATCAGTATAGCAAAATACACTTGTGTAGTTCCTAGAACTTGGTTCCTGAAATTATTTTAAAACACAGTGCTAGAAAGTGTATGTGAGGAGACAGAGAGAAAGAGAAATGTAATAGGACTGCATGTCCTCAAAGAAATGAGAGGCAAAACATCATGGGAGCAAAAGGCGTGTTGTGTGTAACACAAAGTGACAGTAAAAAATAGAGAAAGAGGGTATCTGAAATTATTGTGGGCAGAGTATGGTTCAGAAGGATGATGTAAGACCCCTACTGGCTGAGGTATGAAATAAACACTTCATAGTAAGGATCTCACACATCCCTGAAAGCCATCACCAGCACTGCAGCCAACAGAGGGCACTAGCAAACCATCCACAGCCTCTCTCTCTCTCCGCATTCTGTTCAACTTGACTCATTCTGCCACCTGCAGCCCTCTGCAGAGATGACCCACCCTTCCTCTCACTGATACACTGCAGGGAACCATCAACTGTTCTTTCTATTGCCAGAACCAACAACCAGAGAGAGGCATCTGAACAGAATGGATATGTAAACCAGCATGCATATGCAAAAGAGCAAATAAATGATGATATAAACCAATGCTATATGTTATAGCACCATCAGCTTGCTTTTAAAATACTTTGCTAAATGCATTTGCATTGCATTTGTACAATAATGACAGGCTAATGGATCGCTATAAAGCTACAAAACACATTATTTGTATGCTCTGACATTTTTAGTGAAAGAGATTCTGCAGAATCCTTGTTGATAACCTTGTAAACAATAAATTATGCAGATGCACATCCTCTCAAATTTGAGCTTTCATGAATTTAGAGAACCTGTGGAGATAAATGGGGATTTTGTGAAACATTCGTCATTCATGCAATCTGTTTGTTGTCCTCTGCACCTCCGTTTCATAAAAAATGCATCCATCTGGAGGGACAGAAATCCCAGAGTGACCTTAACAAAAGGTTCAGGTCATTCTGTCTGATAGAAACAGAAGCCAGCAGACACACAGTTCATGCCTTGCAGCGCGCAGAC